TTGAAGTATATGAACCCTTAATCACTCCAAGCAGCACCTCGTTCTTTGTGGAGTTCCATGTGGGCTGGAGCAGCCCATTAATCTTTTTACTTCTCATGGACCATGGGATATTGACCCGTGCGTAGGAAAGCCCAAAGCACATTACATAGTAGTCAAATCTCACTGTGCAGAATTTGGTAAATTGGACTCTTAAATTCCTTTGGCTTATTGCCAAGTGCAGAAAAAAGCGACGACAGAGAAATATTCTTAGGATCAGCTGGGTTAGCCACTGAATCTAAAGTGGAGCACAGTATTCTTGTTAGACAAGAGTCAAGAGAACAAGAGGTTTTGCACTGATGCTGTTGCCCTTTGCTGCATATATAAAAAACAAACAACCAGCTTTTAACAGGTGAAACAAGATCATTATAAGAAGCCCTGTTCCTATTCACTGATAGCCATTCAGAATATCTTCCACATCTAATTGTGTTTATAAGGATCTTTTCCTTCCTAAAGCACACATTAAAGGAAAGGCCTTTTCCTCCTTCTGAAGCCCAAAGTTTTGCTACTTGCTAGCAGCTAGTTTCTGTGAGCCATGGTGACATGTACAGCCGTCGCTCTTAGAAAGTCAGCTGCCAATAGCTCTCAGAATTCACAAAAGTTGGTATTCCATCTATTGTGACACTGTTGAAGCAACCAAGAAACCAGAAGCACTAAACAAAACTTCAAACCCCTACAATGAAAACTGTTAAGTTTGCCTAAAATTTTATCTTTCAGGATACATATTCTCTGTTAAAAGCTTGAATCCTAAGTAGCTGTAAACTGAAAGTGGGTTAAAAGTTTCTCAGCTATATGCTCTTCTGTGACGGGTTGTATTAAGCCCAGAGACCCCCTGCTGGAGGCCTTGTGGTCCTACCACAACTGTCTCAGAAAGGAGCAGTGGAGGTGCGTCCTCCAAGTGGCCTAGAGAGGCTGTGTGGGAAGCAGCCAATCAGAGCATTATAGGCCCATTCAAAAGGAGCTGTAGGAGTTTAGGACAGTCAGTTGCTGCCTGGAATTGGAGGAATGAGACCTGCATTCCTGGCTGGATGAATGAGCAGCAGGACAATAGACAGATCAGTTGCTGGCAGGGATTGTAGGAGTAAGAGGGAACTCCTGGATGGATGCTGGGAAAGACTGAGAAAAAGACTTCAGTCCTATAGTAAGGGTGAAGCATTTGTGAAGCCACGGGGAAGTGGCCCAGAGAAGTGTAGCAGCATAGTGGGTGCAGTGCATGTGGCTGCTATTCACAGGGTGTCTGGGCTGGGACCCAGAGTATTGAGTTGGCCTAGGTCCCCCCTACTGGCCACTAGGGAAGTGGCTTTCTCCCTGAAGAAGGAAGCTGAGAAGAGGCTGAATATTGAACTGTGAAACACCCTTGGAAGGGGATCAGATAGTTTAGTGGCCGAGCTGGGATCGGAAAGGCCTAGAACGGACAAAGTCAGTGTCCCCAGGGAGGGAGTCCTGGGAATACGGTCCCATACTAGGGCCGGGACTATTTAAAGACTAAGCCCAGGGAGGGCTACAGGGATAGGCTCCAGTTGGACTGTATACCCCAGAAATGATCTATGTTGTTTTACATACAGACTATGTGTGACTCAGCCAGAGGGATGAGTTGTCGACTACCCACCTGAGAAATCACTGATAGAGCTTACTGCAGACTAAGAGAGTGCAGTCCCACAAACCCAGATGCGGTGCTCGTGTGAGATGAGGGCACCCTCTTATACATCCCAATAAAGTAACACATATAAACTGATACTAAAACATTGTTAATATTTGAGAGAGAGAGAGATGTCATGTGGTGGAGGACTGGAAGCCAGGAATTCCTCTGTAAAATCCCAGCCCTGACATTGATTTCCTCGGTGGTTTAAGCAAATCATTTACACTCTGCCTCAGTTTCTCCATCTGTAAAACAGCTTTGCAGATATCAGTCTACAATGACTGCTGACATTTTTAATGTTGACCCTGCTGTAAACATCTTGCAGAGACTTCTGTTCTTTGTATCATATGCTAGTGCAACAGCAATTAATTTAGCAATTTTATTATTTTTCCCCCGATACAAGTGAATTTCCTCTTGTGAGTAGATGCTTTTCCCCAGCTTGCACCAAGACACAATCTACACATGCTGCATGGGGTCAAAATATACCCCCACCTTTCTGATATTTGACTTTATTAACAAGTCACTCAAATTTAACATGATCTTTCTCCACATACTGGACTGCGGTTCCTAGGGATCCTCCCCAACGAGCCACTCCCAACTATATGTAACCAAAGTGGAGTTTAATGAGCTACACATGCACAGTTATCAACTGAACTCATTCATCATCTAACAGAGCCAACGCTCATTAACAGGTTGGATCTGCAGAAGGGTACTGCTATCCTCTTAGCTAGGTAACATCATTACAAGTTGGGGAGTGACTGTGGTAATGAGATGATGGATTGGTAGCAGAGGAGCAACTATAGTAATATCTGTGTGAAGCCTATGAGAATGCTCAGCATGAAGCAGGTACAATAGACTTGGAGCTGCTCTGTAATTTCTGAATGCACTGTGTGACCTGGTTATTGGAAGGCTTACTGTGTGCATATATTGAGTTAATTCAATAGCAGGATTGTCAGGAAGGAGGACAAGAACTCAGGGCAGACTCTCAGCAGAAAACAAAGAATATTAACTTTAATGTGGCTATCCTGACTCCTGCTGGGCTGCCCAAACTGGTTTAATCAGGCTCAGAAAACCAAGCAGAACAATATGATTTGGGGACTGGATTAAAAAGTAATTGAGACAGAGGTGGGAGAGTTGAGTTCCAACTCAAGCAGAAGGAGGATTATAACCTCAGAGTGCTCTAACCAGTGGGCTAAAAATATAACATGAGGAATGGGGGCAGGAGGACAGCACCACCTCCTCCTTGTTGTTTTTGCTTGACTGGCTTTAGGCATCAAACTCCAAGAGAGGGTTCACATCTGAAAATCCTAAATGCAAATAGGCACCTCCCTCTTACCTGGACTTTGGTTCCGAAATCTCTTTGAGGGGTGGGGCCTAGATCACACCCCTCTCCCTGTCAGTTCCGATTGGCTAGCTTAGGCAGCTCCCCTCTCAGCATGCTGACTCTTGTGGATCCCATTCTTAGTCACCTACCTGTGCCCATGTATTGTACAGAGAGCCTGAGCACCTAATGTGGGGCTGTGGATTCCACTAGGAACAGGGTGTCTAAAGTTAAGCATAAGACACAGCACTGTAAAGTCCCCTTGGTGGATCTGCTCCTAAGGGTATGTCTACACTATGAAATTAGGTCGAATTTATAGAAGTTGGTTTTTTTAGAAATCGTTTTTATATAGTTGATTGTGTGTGTCCCCACACAAAATGCTCGAAGTGCTTTAAGTGCACTAACTCGGCGGAGTGTTTCCACAGTACTGAGGCTAGCGTCGACTTCCGGAGTGCTGCACTGTGGGTAGCTATCCCACAGTCTCTGCTGCCCATTGGAATTCTGGGTTGAGATCCCAACACCTGATGGGGCAAAAACATTGTGGCGGGTGGTTCTGGGTACATGTCGTCAGGCCCCCTCTTCTCTGTGAAAGCAATGGCAGACAATCGTTCCGCGCCTTTTTTCCCTGAGTTACCTGTGGAGATGCCATACCATGGCAAGCATGGAGCCCACTCAGCTCACTGTCGCCCTATGTCTCCTGGGTGCTGGCAGATGTGGTACTGCATTGCTACACAGCAGCAGCTCCTTGTCTTGTGACAGCAGACGGTGCAATAGGCCTGATAACCATCGTCATCATGTCTGAGGTGCTCCTGGCTACCTCGGTAAGGTCGGTCAGGAGCGCCTGGGCAGACATGGCCACAGGGACTGAAATAGGAGCGACTCGACCAGGTCATTCTCTTTAGTCCTGCCAGCAGTCCTATCGTACCATCTTCTGGCGAGCAGCCAGAAGATCACAGAATATCAGGGTTGGAAGGGACCTCAGGAGGTCATCTAGTCCAACCCCCTGCTCAAAGCAGGACCCATCCCCAATTAAATCATCCCAGCCAGGGCTTTGTCAAGCCTGACCTTAAAAACTTCTAAGGAAGGAGATTCCACCACCTCCCTAGGCAACGCATTCCAGTGTTTCACCACCCTCCTAGTGAAAAAGGTTTTCCTAATATGCAACCTAAACCTCCCCCACTGCAACTTGAGACCATTACTCCTCGTTCTGTCATCTGCTACCACTGAGAACAGTCTAGATCCATCCTCTTTGGAACCCCCTTTCAGGTAGTTGAAAGCAGCTAGCAAATCCCCCCTTATTCTTCTCCTCTGCAGACTAAACAATCCCAGTTCCCTCAGCCTCTCCTCTTAAGTCATGTGTTCTAGTCCCCTAATCATTTTTGTTGCCCTCCGCTAGACGTTTTCCAATTTTTTCCACATCCTTTTGTAGTGTAGGGCCCAAAACTGGACACAGTACTCCAGATAAGGTCTCACCAATGTCCAATAGAGGGGAACGATCACATCCCTTGATCTGCTGGCAATGCCCCTACTTACACAGCCCAAAATGCCATTGGCCTTCTTGGTCACAATGGCCCTCTGTTGACTCATATCCAGCTTCTCATCCACTGTCACCCCCGGTCCTTTTCCGCAGAACTGCTGCCTAGCCATTCGGTCCCTAGTCTGTAGCTGTGCATTGGGTTCTTCCGTCCTAAGTGCAGGACCCTGCACTTATCCTTATTGAACCTCATCAGATTTCTTTTGGCCCAATCCTCCAATTTGTCTAGGTCCCTCTGTATCCTATCCCTGCCCTCCAGCGTATCTACCACTCCTCCCAGTTTAGTATCATCTGCAAATTTGCTGAGAGTGCAATCCACACCATCCTCCAGATCATTTATGAAGATATTGAACAAAACCGGCCCCAGGACCGACCCCTGGGGCACTCCACCTGACACCGGCTGCCAACTAGACATGGAGCCATTGATCACTACCCGTTGAGCCCGACAATCTAGCCAACTTTCTACCCACCTTATAGTGCATTCATCCAGCCCGTACTTCTTTAACTTGCTGACAAGAATACTGTGGGAGACCGTGTCAAAAGCTTTGCTAAAGTCAAGCTACAATACATCCACTGCTTTCCCTCCATCCACAGAACCAGTAATCTCATCATAGAAGGCGATTAGATTAGTCAGGCATGACCTTCCCTTGGTGAATCCATGCTGACTGTTCCTGATCACTTTCCTCTCATGTAAGTGCTTCAGGATTGATTCTTTGAGGACCTGCTCCATGATTTTTCCAGGGACTGAAGTGAGGCTCACTGGCCTGTAGTTCCCAGGATCCTCCTTCTTCCCTTTTTTAAAGATTGGCACTACATTAGCCTTTTTCCAGTCATCTGGGACTTCCCCCGTTCACCACGAGTTTTCAAAGATAATGGCCAATGGCTCTGCAATCACAGCCGCCAGTTCCTTTAGCACTCTTGGATGCAACTCGTCCGGCCCCATGGACTTGTGCACGTCCAGCTTTTCTAAATAGTCCCTAACCACCTCTTTCTCCACAGAGGGCTGGCCATCTATTCCCCATGTTGTGATGCCCAGCACAGCAGTCTGGGAGATGTCCTTGTTCGTGAAGACAGAGGCAAAAAAAGCATTGAGTACATTAGCTTTTTCCACATCCTCTGTCACTAGGTTGCCTCCCTCATTCATTAAGGGGCCCACACTTTCCTTGGCTTTCTTCTTGTTGCCAACATACCTGAAGAAACCCTTCTTGTTACTCTTAACATCTCTCGCTAGCTGCAGCTCCAGGTGCAGGGCGTGCTGTGCCTGAGAGAAGCTTTGAAAGCCAGTTTCATGACTGGCCAGGCTACAGTGTGAAAGTTCTGTTTAAAAAAGAAAAAGGAGTACTAGTGGCACCTTAGAGACTAACCAATTTGAGCATAAGCTTTTGTGAGCTACAGCTCCCCCCCTTGGTTCCCTGTACTTCCCTGTAAGCTAGCCACCCTTCCCTCCTCCCTTCAATCACTGCTTGCAGAGGCACTAAAGTCATTGTTGCTTCACATTCATGCATTCTTTATTAATTCAATCACACAAATAGGGGGATAACTGCCAAGGTAGCCCAGGAGGGGTGGTAGAGGACAAGTTTAAATCTTTAAAAAACTTATTGAATGCCAGCCTTCTGTTTCTTGGGCAATCCTCTTGGGTGGAGTGGCTGGGTGGCAGGGGGCGAGCCCCCCCCCCCCCCAGCATTCTTGGGCGTCTGGGTGTGGAGGCTATGGAACTTGGGGGAGGAGGGCAGTTGGTTACACAGGGGCTGTAGTGGCGGTCTGTGCTCCAGCTGCCTTTCCTGCAGCTCTACCATATGCTGGAGCATATTAGTTTGATCCTCCAGCAGCCTCAGCATTGAATCCTGCCTCACACTGCCACCACTGATCAGCTTCAGCCCGCCACCTCTCCTCCTGGTCATTTTGTGCTTTCCTGCGCTCTTACATTGTCTGCCTCCATGCATTCATCTGTGCTCTGTCAGTGTGGGAGGACAGCATGAGGTCAGAGAACATATCACAAGTGTGTTTTTTTCACCTTCTAATCTTCACTAGCCTCTGGGAAGGAGAAGATACTGTGATCCTTGAAACACATGCAGCTGGTGGTGAAAAAAGGGACAGTGGTATTTAAAAAGACATTTTATAGAACAATGGGTACACTCTTTCATGGTAAACCTTGCTGTTAACATTACAACCATAGCATATGTGCTTTTGTTCCAAGGTCGCATTTTACCTTCCCCCACCATGTGGGTAGCCCCTCCCCCCCCCTCACGGCTAACAGCGGGGAACATTTCTGTTCAGCCACAGGCAAACAGCCCAGCAGGAACTGGCACCTCTGAATGTCCCCTTAAGAAAAGCACCCTATTTCAACCAGGTGACTATGAATTATATCAATCTCCTGAGGATAACACAGGGAGAAAGAAAGGATGTTTGAACACCAGAAAATATACACTGCAATGCTTTGTTCTGCAATGATTCCCGACTATGTGCTACTGGCCTGGTGTGGTAAAGTGTCCTACCATGGTGGACGGAATAAAGCTGCTCTCCCCAGAAACCTTTTGCAAAGGCTTTGGGAGTACATCCAGGAGAGCTTTATGGAGATGTCCCTGGATGTCCCTGGATGATTTCCGCTCCATCCCCAGACATGTTAGCAGACTTTTCCAGTAGCAGTACTGGCCATGAATGCCAGGCAAATTAAACATGCTTGCTTTTAAAGCATGTATTCTGTTTAAAAAGGTACACTAACCAGAGGTCCCTTCTCTGCCTGGTGGGTCTGGGAGGCAGCCTTGGGTGGGTTCAGGGGTACTGGCTGCAGGTCCAACAGTACATACATCATACAAGCTGGTATAACTCAGGAACAGAACTTTTCCTTAATATCACACCACTGACATTTATAGTCAAAACAAGAATAAGTTTATCATCAAAGATTCAGGATTCAAGTGTTCGTGAGTAAGGATCATGAAAACAAATTGTTATATATAAAACAAAATCATAACATGCTTTTTAGAAACTAAACTTAACAGATTAACATTCTGTTTAAAGAAGTCTTCTCACCCAGGGTCTTCAGCTTTTTAACCAACGCTGGCCGAGATCCCATTTTCATGAAGATAAACGCACCAAGATTCCCTTATGCTGGAGGCAGGGGGTAACCGACAGCCCTGGGTACCCTGAGAAACATCATCTCCCTTCCCAACTGTCTTTTCCCCTGATTATAAGCAGCTTCTCCCAGAGCTGAAGGGTTAACCCCTATGTTGCCAGGCCAGGGACAGGCACCTGAACCAGTTAGACACCTGCATAAAGTGTTACCTGGAGTTTTCAGAATTCAAAGCAGTGGTAACTTAACTGTTTCACTTCAGGCAGTGTCAGGAATAAATCAATGGGAACACAGCAATTCTGTCTGATGAAATATTAATACAAGTAAGCATGCACTTATCTAAAAGTACTATTTATTAGATATAAAGCACACAGACAAACAATAGGTTTAGTACATCCCAGATACAGTTACTCACAGTCAGATGATTTTGAGTGATCACCAGCCAGGCTTTCAGGGACCCTCTTTCCATCCAGCTGATGATAGGGTGACCAGATGTCCTGATTGTACAAGGACAGCCCTGATATTCAGGGCTTTTTCTGATATAGGGGCATATCACCCCCACACCCCCTATTCCTTGACAGGGTTGAAAAGAGATCCTCCCCAGCCCAGTGCAAATGAGTGATGGGGGAGGGGGAATGAAGTGAGCAGGGTAGGGCCTTGGAGAAGGGGCAGGGCAAGGGTGTTCGATTTTGTGTGATTAGGAAGTTGGCAACTAGTAACCTGCTATCTGGTCACCCTAGCTCAGGTATCAGCAACCTTTGGCACGTGGCCTGTCAGGGAAAGCTGCTGGCAGGCCGGGACAGTTTTTTTACCTGCAGCATCCTCAGGTTCGTCCGATCTCAGCTCCCACTGAGCGTGTTTCACCGTTCCAGGCCAATGGGGACTGCGGGAAGTGGCGTGGGCCAAGGGATGTGCTGGCCACCACTTCCCGCAGCCCCCATTGGCCTGGAACGGGGGACCGTGGCAAGTGGGAGCTGAGATCGGACGAACCTGAGGATGCTGCAGGTAAACAAACCATCCCGGCCCGCCAGTGGATTTCCCCGATGGGCCGCATGCCAAAGGTTGCCGATCCCTGCCCTAGCTGATAGGGAGTTTAGATGTCAGCTCCTTGCTGAAAGAAAAGCATCCTTGGACTGCTCCAAGGTATTTACTTTTACCTAATCTGTTATAGCTAACTAACAAAACATACAACGTACAGTGACTCCTAGTAGGTCACCAATTCTCCTAATCTCAAAACATTTCTAGCCAAAACAACAATATGTCAGGGGCACCTAAAACCAAGGTCACTATCCACTCAGTCTCTTCCATAGCTTTCTGTCCCATCCTCCCATTCTAATTAACAAACTACAAGTATGCAGCTGTCTGACCTTGTCTCATAAAGGCCCAAGATTATTCCTAGCTATGTGATGTTTGGTTTTCAGCTAGCAGTGGCTGCACATACAAAATGGCTGACTGCAGGACTGCCAAGTTCTGAGGTACCCTGGCACTTGACATTCCTGCATGTAACACAAACAGCCTGATTTTCAGAGATACTCAGTAGCCACAACTCCCACTGACTTCAATGGGAGTAACAGTTGCTCAGAATCTCTGAAAAAAGTTATTTATTTAGGTGCCCATCAGTGGATTTTGGTGCCTAACTTTAAAATACTAGCCTAGATGCTTTCCAAAAGCCCAAGTGTGACAGGGCTGGGACTCACCACCGCAGCACCTCCTGCTGTTCACTCTAGGAATTAGCTCAGTTCATGCAGAGCACCCTCTGCCAGTGATGTCCCATCGGTCTCTCACCCTTGATTGATGTCTCGACCTGCGTTGCTCCCAGCTTGCGGCATCCTCTTCAGGACACTGCCCCCAAGTCCACCATTGCCCTCTTCCAGGGTGTCTGTACTAACAGCAGTCTTTTCAGTTTGCTCCTGCCACAGTGGCCAACCACAACCCCTTGAGTCTAGCCCTTCTGTTCAAGGGCCGGTTGCAGTCTGTCATGGCCACCCTTCCATAGCTAGGTGCTGTACAAAGAGGAAGGGCTGGGGGGAGGGGCACCCAGGCCTGCCCACTACTCTGGGTCCCAACCCAAGGACCCTCTAGTGGCAGCCTCCCTGCCCTCTTTCTCTCCCCTTGTCTAACTGTCCCTAGGGCACTTCCCTTTTGGCCCTTCACACCCTCTAGGCCCTTCCTATTGGGGCCCACAGTTGGGCAGGTATTGGGCCAGAGCCCTTCTATACTCCCCCAAGCCTGCCCAGCACTGCTCTACCCACGGTGCTACTCTCCTGCTCAGGAGACAGACAGACCTTCCCCTATGAAGGTCTAGGACAGACTATCTATACCCTTCCCGGCCAGCCTTTATATAGGGCCTAGCCTAGCCCTGATTGGCTGGCTGTAATACTGGCCCTGATTGGCTCCCAGTAGGCCTTTTCCTGATTGGCAGCTGCTCTGGCCTACTCTAGCCCTATCTCTCATAGGGGTGAGGCAGCTGCTCCACCACACCAAGTCATGTCAACATTAACTGGCTGCTCATTCAGTTAATAAAAGTTCTTTTAAATGGCAGTGCACACATTGAACTGGATGGTTGTCTGAACTGGTTAACCTTTGCCCAGCCATTCAAGGATATAACATCCTGCACAAGAGCTAAGTATTTTTAATCTTGGTTTTTTTGTTTTTTTCTCTTTTAAGGGATTCTTTAATTAAAAGCCATAGAAAGTAGCATTGGAACTCTACAGCCAGGCACTAAACCTGCCTCTCAATCAAAAATTTAGCAAAAATTACCATGTGTGGGACAGGAAGCTGAGCATTTTCTGGCTTTTCAGGCTGCTGAGGCAGCATCCTCTTACTACTGATAAAAATTGCTTTGCAAAGGTTGTGCCTCTTTGGATTATTTCTATCAGCATGTGTCAGTGTTTGGGCTTCCTGCAAAAGAAAAAAAAATCAAATGGAAATTTACAGTGCTTGCTTTGGAGCTGTAGTGTAAAACTGCCCTCTTAGCAGCTTCCAAGTCCCAGGGAATTTAGTCCTTAAGTCTTTCCACTTTCTCACACCCCCTCATACATTTCCCTTTGTTTTTTGACTTGCTGTTTATTTTTCAAGGTAAAGGTGTTGGGTTTTGTGTGTGTTTCATTTTCTTTGGATGTTTAAACAAGGGCAACGTAACAATTAACAGGCTGTACCCAGTGGGCAAGACCTTAATTGGGAGCAGGGGAGCAGATTGCTGATGCAGAGTTTTGAGGAAATCTTTATCCTAGAGAAAGTA